TATCGTTTTGGGTACGTAAAATCGCCCGCGGCTATTTAGAATCTAGTATTTATGTACGAAAACGTTACCTCATTGTCAAGGCTTTAATAGAAGTAGATCTATATTGTCATACTTTTGTGTCAAATATTATAATATTATAATAAACCTAAATCAATGGCTAAATATATCGATATAGGCCAGAAATTAACTTTAAACAGCAGTGTCTGTGAGCAAGATTTGCTATATAAACAGCAGCCATTTGTAAAATAGAGTGACCTCCCCCTGAATCTGGCGCTAAAAGCTTATAAAAATAAGACATAGAGTCTAGACAAGATGGCTGCTATAGTAAATGAGCATGATTGCATCTGTTGGAAACATCGCTAGTCTTCATTTATTACGGAAATGATTTAATTCAGTTGTTTAAAAACAGGTACATAAATGAATCAAGGAAACATTTTTGAATTTTTTAAAACATAAATCCTCCTCAAAATGTGAAATAATTATTAAAATTTAAGGAGTCACCTGTTTTTCACATTACAAATCGCGGGCGATTTTACGTACCCAAAACGATAGATTACCCTTACTCCAGACTCCAGACTATTCCTTTTGGGGGGGGGGGTAGGCTCTCTTCAAAGATGTCTGGAAGAAACACTGTTTTTAAGAAAGGTAAAATCACGATATAGCGTCGGTTATTATTCCGGAACTGTACAGCAGTAAAAAACAGTAAAACCATAGCGTAGTCTGTCGAGCCGTTCCGGAAACCACCGGAAATACTGTAAACCATCATTTATTTGCTGCCATATTATTTTTAATACATAATGTTGAAAAATGTGCAAGGATTGATTTTACTAATTTTAGTTGCAATTTAAATACTGTTTTGCTAATTATTTTGTATTTCTTATTATTTTAAGTGTATGTGCTAATTATTGCTGCTACTAAACATTATTCTAGTTATTCTTACTACTTTTAACTTTAGTAAATCTAATCGTCTTATTTACTAACAGAACTAGATCTAGAATCTAGAGCTGGTTGTCGCAAATCTTCTGCAAGTTTTTTCTGTTTCTTAAAAAAAACATTAATTACTACACTCGACTTTAATAATAATATTTAGATTTACTAATTTTTTGTCAGTTAAACATTAAATTAAGTTAAAACATTAATTTAATGCACTTGACTTTATTTTTCTTTCAACTGTCAAATAAACTATGGTTTACAGTAACGAATGTTACCGAAACTCAACGAACATTACCCAATAATTTCCGACGCCATATCGTGATTTTACCGAATATCCCACCTCTGGACAGATTTAAAACACTCAAATAATTCAAATACATGAAAAAGCTACCTGGTAATGCTCCTCTGATGAAATCCTCACATTTGTAACATATTATTTAGGTAAACCCTAATTCATATTCTTTAGACCTACCTTACCTTTCTGTTTTAGGCCCATGAACTTAAAAGTAATTTGGTCTGAAAATGTTTTTCACTATTATTATATTAAGTATTATTATAAGCATTTTGGTTTTGGCTTCTAAACTAACTTTTATTTAATAGAAGAGATGTGTAGCCATTTACTTAAAATCATCATAATCAAAATCATTCCTGCGGACTCCTTCCTTGTGGAGTATAATGACACAACCACACCTCTCCATCAGGCTCAGTTTTGGTCAATGCCTCCAAGTTGGGACCTCGACATTCCGGCTGCTTCTGTTTCACTGAAAACTGAATTTTTTTCCAAATTTTGGCCTACCTACTTTCCTTGGTGATGTTGCTATTGGGTTTCCAGAAGGTGTGTCCAATCCATCCCCCTTTGTGATTGTATATTTCTTTGCCAATAGGTCTTGCCCAGTTTTTCTCCACAGTTGGCATTGGTTAATTTTTTTCCAGAGTTGTTGAAAAATGTAAATAAAAACTAAAGGAGCCAACTTGTGGTATTCATTAACAGTAAGTTTATTATTATGAACTGGATGAGTGACACCGTGAAAGAAGACATTACAATATTGACCACTGATTTGTGGCTATGGTTTCACTGACAATGATAATGAAAACTACAATGACAACATCATTTGTGATGATTACAATTATAATCAAACAGATCTGATTGAAAATTAAGAACAATATTCTTATACAAATTTCTTCATTTACAAAGTAAAACCAGGACCCGCATATCTTAGACATTTTTTAAGTTATCATTTACAAACATAATAATTTTGCTTTTTAAAAACTTTTTCAGTTGGGGGAAAAAAATTCCCTAAAGCATTAAAAACTACAAAGTAATAAAAAGAGAAAACATACTCTTATAGAGAAGAGCTATAAATAAATGTTTAAATAGCTAGTATGGTCTGTTTTTTTTTTAAAACATACAATGAGGAGTACAAACCTTAACAATAGTTCATTTTGTATTCGATTGGGAATTTTGAAATTCATTTCTGTCTTGTTCAATCACTCAGATGAATATTTTACATTTTCAACAAGAAAAAAAATTATTAAATTACTTGAATTTTCCTTCTTCTTTCATCTAAAAGGCTGTTTAATTATCCAGTTGTTAATGAACTTTAATCAATAAATTAATGTCTATGGATAATGAGAAAACCCTATGAATGTGAAAAGATGAGTGATTCTGGTGGGAGGTATTAGGTAGTTGAAATATACTTAACAAACAAACATAGATGAGGTAGCAAGTCCCCATCCCTGGAGACTAGTTGCAGAACAACACTTGTTCATAGAATTAGTAGGTAGCTTGTTGATTTAAACTGTAGGTAGCTTGTTGATATAAACTGGTGTAGGTAGTTTGTTGATTTAAACTGGTGTAGGTAGCTTGTTGATTTAAACTGTAGGTAGCTTGTTGATTTAAACTGTAGGTAGCTTGTTGATTTAAACTGGTGTAGGTAGCTTGTTGATATAAACTGGTGTGGATAGCTTGTTAGTTTAAACTGGGGTAGGTAGCTTGTTGATTTAAACTGGTGTAGGTAGCTTGTTGATATAAACTGGTGTAGGTAGATTAATTGATATAAACTGGTGTAGGTAGATTAATTGATATAAAATGGTGTGGATAGCTTGTGTTTAAACTGGTAGGAAGCTATTTGATATAAACTGGTGTAGGTAGCTTGTTGGTTGTAGATTGATATAAACTGGTGTAGGTAGATTAATTGATATAAAATGGTGTGGATAGCTTGTGTTTAAACGGGTGTAGGAAGCTATTTGATATAAACTGGGGTAGGTAGCTTGTTGATTTAAACTGCAGTAGGTAGCTTGTTGATTTTTGTAAATGATAGCTTGATTTATATAAATGGTAGTAAGTCACCCACCTCCTTAAAAAAATAACATTCAGAAAGGGAAAAAAGATTCATCTGTTGTCAAAAAACATTTCTCACTGAAGTTTGGAGATATTTCATTTTCATAGAATTTGGCTTATTTTACAAAGATCTGCTGTCATTGGGTTCAAAGGCTTTTAGGCCAAATAAAAGAAATGGAGAAAAACTCTGAACTCAAGCAATAAATGTTGTACAATTTAAATTTCCTAAAGAAAATATTTATAACAAGCTGCATTTTAGGTGACTATCATTGAAATAAAATGCTATAAAAAGTTCATAATATTTAATATAAATAAATTTGATATTTTAAAAAAAAATTTGTTTGTTGTTTGCATAAGAATAGTTAGTAATTCTGTACATGTCCCTGTCACTGTTTGAAATGGTTATAGAATCATCTAAACTGAGATCTGGTGTGATAGCTAGCTCACACACACAACAGACTTGAGGTACGATAGCTCTGGTAGAGGCCTGAAAATACTGACTGACCGCAAGCTCCACAGACAGATAGATTCAACTCTTAATAAATACAACAGGACTAATGAGAAGAATTGACAGTCTTTTAGTGAAAGTTACTCAAACCATTGTCTTAAATTGTATATGATCAACTGAGAGATGCGTAGAACTTATAAGGTGTGGCTCATCCACAACTACACAACTAGAGCCAATGACTATTTTACAAATGATGTGATCTGTCTTTAGGACTCCTGAGATACATTTGGGGCATCTGTGATTCAATCCGAAAACATCAATTACATGGGTGAATATTGGCCAAACCCAGCCCACTATTGGTTACCAATCAATTATATTATATACAACACATTCAAAAAAAAAAAAAAAATTCCTTCAGAACTTAAGGTATACATAGTACAGTTTGCCTTCATAAAATATTTTCCAAGCCTCTAAACACAATCCAAGCAAACTGAAGAGAGAGAACAACAGTATTTCCGTTAAATATGAGGTGGACTAAACGACTCTACATCTATGTGTGTAGAATCACCAATAGTATACAAGCTTTACTGTTTACAATACATTAGCCATCAAAAAGTGGTACAATACATTTATAAAATTAAACAATGGCTAATGCTAATTGATTAAAAAAATAAACATTCATAAACAATAAAATTACCTTCATATACTTTTAAATTTGTGTATATGTGGATTACAATACTTCAAAATCCTTTATCATACTTTGCTAACACACCCACAGGAATACATACACACTCATATATGTGTGTGTGTACATATACATATATATACACATACATACACACATTATGTACACATATACACAGTAATACTTTAATAGCCTGACATTTCCTCCAAAACTAAAAAAAAATATACATAGAAACAAAGTTTTTAAATAAATAATTGAATTTTACATTGCATTCATCCTTTAAACTTAATTGTTTTTTTTTAAAAAAAGGTTGCAACTATGTTGTTTTTTTACTAACACCAAAATAGTAGTTAATAAACAAAATGTTAATTTTTAAAAATATATTATCAAGATAGCAATATTATTTTTTCTTACAATACTGCAGTTGTAAAAATTCAAATTTATTGAAAAAATTTAGATAAGATTCTGTAAAATAAAAAAAATAATCACAAAATGACTAATTTCTCGACTCCTGTGTGTTGAATGAATTTAAATATATATATATATATATATATATATATATATATATATATATATATATATATATATATATATATATATATATATATATATATATATATATATATATATATATATCTTGATGGCTATTTGAAGATCATGCATCAAACAAACAAATTATAATCTAATAGTCAGAGGTAGATAATGTAATGTCTATAAGTTGGTTATCTGGTGTGCTTATCATCCAACACATGCACAGAGCACTAAAATAGTTGACACCAAAAGAGTGTTGATGAAAACCAAAATGTAAATATAGTTTAAAACTGTAAAGAAAGAGGGAAATGAAGAAGCTGACTGCATCTGATCCCTGAGCTGTAACACACGAGGTAGGTCTCTGAGAGGTGTACTTTCAGGAAGGATGTGGAAGCTACTGGCACACCACATCCCCTTCTTCAAACACCTCTGGTCTAAATAGTTAACCACAAGTCTAGTTTCAAAAAATTATTTTTTACAACTTTACATAACTGTGTATCAGTTTTACAAATAAATGAGATTACATATGATTATAACTTAGTTACTGTTTGGTTGTACAAAAAAGGATCTTATATGTCTAGATAAATGAATAAAGCAGGCCTTCAACATCATTTCATCAAAAAACATTCATCAAGTCATTCATGGTTAAAAATTTCATTCACTGAATTTATAAATAAACATAAAGGGAGACACCTCACAGTCCAATATTGAACAACATTAAATACCTTGCATAAAAATAAATTTGCTGTCAATCTTAATCAAAATATTTCAGCCATCAAAAGTGATTCAGAATTTGAATAAATTAAATCAGTCCAATACAAGGCTTTTTGTTTTAAATAAAAATAAAAACTACATGAATTTAAATAATAGATATAGCTGCTTACTTGTAGATCAACAAAAGGAGAACAAAGCATGTGTCTAACAATGGTAGACAGACTTCCAAGATTGGAGAATATCATCAACTAATGGGTAGAAAAACTTGCTGAGGCTGTGTTGTATATAACAGTAGACATAACAGGTGAGAAATGCTGGTGTCTGGCTACAAGCTACCTGCTTACAAAAGGGCACTTGTTGCATCTTAACTTTATCTAGCATTTATACTCATTCAATACAGCTTCCATCTTTTAAAAAAAAACAACAGCAATTTAGTCTATTTGTTTTGCTACAAATAAAAATCTTGACTTCGTACCAGCAAATTTAGATCATATAAGGGAAGAGAAGAAAAAAAAATTGACAATAAAACCAATGAAAAAATAATAAATTCCCCAGCTGATATATAAACTTGCATGTCCCATTTCAATGAGAAAATATAAGTGAATCATCAAGTTAATGAGCTGCCAACAAATGAATTGCAACATACCTTCCACTGGTAAGGTATGTGACTACTTGGTACCAAACTGCTGTGTGGTTCTGTGACTGCAGGTCAACAAACCACCAACAAATGGATGTAAAGCCACACCATGATTGGGTGAGAATTATGTTAGATTACATCAATTAACAAAACAGCAATCAACAACAGTATATATTACATAAATAACATCTAATTTTGAAGCCACTCTGACTTGGATTCTCATTAATTAATTTAAAGTTCAATATGTTTCCATACTCAGTAAATTCACAAATGTACCTAATCTTAATTTTTTTTAAACCTTAGTTTTTTTCATTACTTCACAACGTAGCATTACTTATTCAAACATACTAGATTTGGTTATTATTATTTCTTTGAATTTATTTTGAAACTTCTCTGCACTAACTAAGGTGGTGGACTATTTCCACATCATGGTAAAACATATTAATGAGCCAACATGATTTAAAGCTTCAACACATCAACTATCAGGAGATAAACATTGGTTACAGTTTCATTTAAAAAAGTATTTTAATGTGAACAACAAAACAACTTGAATATCGCTTTAAAAGTAAAGAAATCGATTACCTAACACAATGATTGTGTGAATAGCTTTCAGTATTTAAATTAACAATAGAACCTGTTTCATGCTATGAGATAAGAACTATAATGCTTGGGAATGGTTAGAAAAACAACTTAAATATTTGCTTTGCCGCTAATAATATCAACTACCATTCCTTATGAAGTACAGAGAAAAAAGCTACTACATTAGTGAAATGTTAAAAATTTAGTTTAGGTGATTTCATATCATTTTGATAAAGCACCTATGCTATATTTTGATATAAAGGATTAAAAGATCCAAGCAGAAATGTTTAATAACTACAACATTACTAATTAGATCATACATTTTAAAAGTAGAGAGAAAAAAGTTGAATCACTTGTTAAAAAGCAACTGTTTTGAAATAATTTGAATTGTAATTTACAGTCATTTGAGAAATGAATATGCTTTCAAAATAAGGTTTAGACACTTCTTTAAAGAGATTGTATTTACACAAATATCTTTCACAATTAAAACATTAAAATTTTACCACTCAAATGCATGTTTAAATAAAATGTAACATTTTAGTTGCTTTTTAATTTTATAATTCACAAATAAAAGATTTTTTTTAATATACTATTTACATATTTTGCTTTTAACTGCCTGTACAGCTAAAAAGTTACAGAAATATTTACAGTAAGTATGCATTGTCAAAAGAAGAAAAATAATTTTAAAATAATAAACCACTAGGGATCTTAAGAAACCAAAAGTATCACATGTGAAGAGAGCCACCAATACATTAGCCAAGACAAAATAGCACAATTTTTAAATCTAGATGTTAATAAGATCATTCACTTTAACTTTTTTATTTTTTCAATTATTTTTTCTGATTATTTCAAGAAATATTCATACAACTCTCTGACAGTAGAAGAAACTTTAAAGTTGATTTACAAAAAAAAAACAAAAGCAAAATGATTTGACCTACAAAAAGTTAAAATTACACTTTTCATTAATACCATTTTGGTCTGTCAATTTTTGGATTAAAGGGTTTTTTTTAACTGAAAAAAGTGCCAGAATTCTATGGAGGTCTGCTTCAAACTATTTTTATAAGCCGAGGTAAAAATATAACAAGAGATCTAGATTACAAAATCACGGGGCTTCAATTAGGAATAAGACAAAAATAAAACACTTAAAATGTATGTGGTTCATGCAGTAGAATTTACAAATACAAATATTCACTAATAGCTGTCTCTGAACAGAATAGACACAGATAGAAAGCAAACACGCAAGGGTTTAAAAGATATATTTATGTAATATATATACAAATGCAATTTAAGTATTCACTGAACAAAAGGAAAGTACCCGCATCAATTCAACATTTTCTTTTTTTTTTAAAACTACAAAGATAGCTGCTTTTACATTGATACCAAGAGTTGTTGGCAGTTCTAAAATGTTCTACAAGTTACAACAGAAATGTTAATATACAAGTAGTGTTAGTGTATCCACTTTAGCACAAGGCAGCCCCCAGACTTTGCATTAGCATTGAAACACTGTGTGACGCATGTAGCACACAGATTCTCCTGGCTAGATGGAACAACAAGTAGAAGGAAGAAATGGAATTCAGTACATTCAATCATTCTTGACACCAGAAAAGACAAGAATATTCTTTAAAGTATTGAGAAAAAAATTAAAGAAAATTTGTAGTATACAATCAAATTTAGTTAGATCTTTTGATGTTTTTTCTACCTTAGAAAATCCAGTCCATGTTTCAATGCTAATATGTACAAGTATATTTGTGTAAATAAGAGATTATTAGGGATAGATCCAGTAAACAGTGAGAAGAAGAGATCCTCAGTACTGTCCTATACCAACAAGTACAACATAGGAATAAAATCATTTGTGCTTAAATGATGAGGTTCAGTGTTTATAAGATCTTCTATTCCAAGGTTGAGATTTTTGTTTAAAAAAAAAAAAGAAAGATTTTTTTAAAAATATTTAAAAATCAACAGTATCAATGTTTACAAAATAAAAAATTAACTTAATTCTAGTATAATAAATTTCTCCCTCTTGACTATAACAACATGAGGAAGAAGTCAATGTTTTGAGGTATAACTCCTGTCTACTTTGAATCAAGCTGCACCATTCCTGAGCAGCCAATGAGGTAATTCTGGTTGTGTCTGTACATGTTTCAGCCATCTGCTGCACGCATCACGCAATGTAAGGGTGCTGAGAGGGAGGGAGCCCGGGAGAAAATGCTACGATTGTCTCACCCTCCGACTGCCTGGAGAACATGCTGCCATTAGATCCCTGTCCCCCTTGACTGTTGCTGCCGCTGCTATTGAGCTCTGCGGTGGCTGATGCTGCTGTAGATGTTGCTGTGATTGCTGCCGAAGAACCCTGAGGAAGTGGCAGGGTAGGTAGGGGGGGAGGAGGGGGTGGAGGTAGATCTGAATGAGAGATGTGCTGGCTAGCTGTGTGCTGAGGATGATTATGTTGGTTGTCATTGGATAGACTCATGCTGCTGGGCTGCTGCTGCTGAGGTGATGCTGTTGGTGACTCGCTTGATGAGGGTGAAGGTGAAGACGACTGTGGCAGCAAGTCTGTTGAGTTCACGCCCAACAACTGCTCTTCACTGCCTAAAGAGGATGCATGCACTTCAAAGTTTAAACCGAGGGAGGTACTAGCCAGTCCACCGTGGGATTTAACTTCACTGCCGTGACCAGAGTCTCTATCTGTAGCCAAGCAATCCTCGTAGCCCTCTCCAGCCGCGTCCCCCTGCTGGTCACTGTCCTTATTGCTGCGGGACACCTCACCAATGACAGCGCCGGTTGACCTGTCGGTGAACACCCCCCCTATTTCATCCACCTGTCTTCCATGCTCCCAGCACTTGTGCTGCTCCACAGGTGAGCCGGCAGGACTGCTGCAGTGTGGGTCTAGCTCATTGCAGTGCATGCCTGCACGCCTGCAACCTGTGCCACTGTCTTCACTACTGCGGTCATCATCTCCTTGGTCAATGTCATCCATTGAGGACATGGGTATCATCTCAACACTACTGACTAGTGTGTCACTGCCATCAGTAGAGGCTAATGTAGCTGCCATTAGTCCTTGGAGTTCCTGAAACAATTACACCATATATGCTTCAAACACAATCTACAATAGTAGCTGACATTTTTAATATACATATTCAAATGTTATGAAAGTGAACATTAAAAATAATACTAGAAAACTATTTCAAAACTATGAAAGCTCTGCTTTGGTTTAATTAAACTCATTATTCTTTTCCCTTTGTTTAAAAATAATAAGAATGACAGTAAAAACGTTCATCATCAATCACTTTTAAACAAAATTACCTCAGAGTTATTGCTAGTATTTAAATCTCCAGAAGAATAAGAAACCTGCGTGGGAAGTTTGTGATTTAGTTTGACAATACCATTAGATCGAAAGCCGTTTGGTATTATTAAGTCTGGTCCACCTTTTGAGTCACAGTGGTCATTTTCAGGAATCTGAGAGAAATTATACAGCAATATTTAGATGGTCATGAATAAGGTTATTTGCATGACTGCTACAAAACATCAGCCAGAGATGTAATTTACAACCTATAAAGTTAGATTTTTTTGCTTGAGTGAAACAGGATGCATAGTAACATTCCCTCTATGTTTTATTCAGAAAAAAATTACATTTCTGCTGTGTTTAATTTAATGCTATGTAAAAGTGCTTGGATTTTTTTGTAAATTGTTCTTATTTACCAACAGAAGGCCAAGTAACCACAGATACTTATTTTAAAGTACTGAAATGTATTAAAACTTTTTTTACTCTGATTCTAAATACGGCACTGATCCTACCCCTCTAACAGCACTATCAGAGAACAAAACTGATATGAGATCATACCCCATACCAGCACTTTACAAAAACTTTTGGATAGGCTTGTGATAAACCCAACAACTAGATCAGTCAAAAGCAACAAAGGCTAACCTTGTGCAGCATTGGTGTGGATTCCAGGAGAGTTATTACTTCATGGTCATCTGGAGTTTTTCCAATGATGTGTGTGTGACCATTGCCAGGTTTGTGCTGCCCAATCTGATTGGCAGGAGATGGGATGTGTCCATTACCTCCCCTGTAGATAGGAGAATGGTTGGTGCTTTGATCCTGTGCCCTAGAGAGGTAGCTTTAACAAGAATGGAACAAGTTAGTTAGAGATGAAAGCCATTTATATATATATATTTTTTTTTAATGAATAACATAAGTAGTATTCAAAATATAACTAGAGGGTATTTGAGCTTGTTGTCATGCTAGAACACTAAGTGGATTTGTTTTGTTTACAAGATAAAATTATTCAAGTGATTCTCAAAAATCTCCCTAGATATCTGCTTTATCAATCATGCATTAAAATTATTTAAATTAAATAAACAGACAGCCATTATAAAACTAACAAGGTAGTAAACAATGTAAACATGCTCAGCACAGAGGTAATTAGACATGAGTGGGGACAACTGAAAATGGTACACAACCGCTCACCTTCTGCGCAACATTATAGCCAGGAGAATCAAAATGATGAGGATAGCAGCTCCTAGTCCAACCCCTACAATGATGCCAATCTTGCTAGTTGAAGGGTTTTTGGTAACTGTAAAAAAAAAAGGTTCATGCATATTTTGCTATTGTCAACTTTAACTACTCATAATGTGTACTATTGTAAAATTACTTTTTTTTTTCAAAAAATGAATTAAAAAAACCTTAAAAATGTTACTGTAGGCATACCTGGTTCTTCAGTTGCACAGTGATCACACTTGATCTCCACCTTCAAGGCCACGGTTGCAGCCCCTGGCCCATCATTGTTAACAGCACACACTTTAAACCAGTACTGCCCATAATCTAGGTCATTCACCTGGGTTGTTAAATCTGTCAAGAAATTGAACCTCTTCATAATAAAAGGAATTACTTGCTCAAACTTCACATCAGCTTAACCATCTCATCACTGTGAACCATCCCAGTCATAAGCTGTTTGTTTTAGCTTTAACTTCAAAATTTTATTTACTAAACTGTTTCGTATAAAAATATATTTGTGTTCTGACTTACTGTTGCCTGTTAGTTAATTTTAAACCATAAGAATGAGAAAAGTAGAGTTTCATGCAATTTGTTTTTTTTAATTCAGTAGGTAAAATATGTATTTTATTTAAATTAGTTACTTTATGAATTATCTCTTATTTAGGCAGAAAGGTTAAATAACTATATCCTTACAAAACTCTTTCCTTCTTACATAACTCACATCTGATTAATCTTGATATCCCAGCTAAAAAGAAACTTGACTGCTAAACTAATGGATTCAGTTTATATAACTTAAAATTCTATCACTGATTACAAGGTATGTGAAGCCACAAAAAAACACACCCACTCTACTGCAACTAGTTTGAAAAGAAACCAGATAGTGAAAATAAAAGTCAACAAACCATTTAGTGAGAACTCTTTCCACAAGCTATCAGACAAACAGTCACTGTTCTTGCAATAGGAGATTTTGTAGCTCATGATATCCCCATTGGGCTGTACAGGGGGCAGCCAGTGCAAAAAGACAGAAGTACCTTGTACTTTTGAAGTCAGGTTTTGTGGGGCTGATGGTCCTGTTCAATGATTGGGCAATGTTAGAACTACGGGGTTTTAGGACTGACATGATCAATGTATACAAACTTCACAAATAAAATTGGTAGTTGAATTAATGCTTCAATTTTTTTGACTTGGAAATTATATAGTTTGAAAAGATTAAATGCATGCGCAGAAGTTAAGTTTTAATAGTTTTATCTTACCTCAATATCATACATTTTATTACATCTTTTATAAGTTTATCAATTATTTACTTGTTCAATGTTGAAATTAATTAATAAAATATGCAATTTTCTTTATAAAAAAATGATAGCAATTAATTTTTTCCCAATCCAGCAAGAACTTACTGGCTTCAATAGTTTGAACAATAAGAAGATCACTGTATCTCCCTTTGGTCTCCGGAGTGAAGGCACACACTTTGAACTCATAGCGCTTCAGTGGTTTGAGATCTGATATTGTTGCTGTTGTCTCTTGGCTAGAAAAGTTGAAATATAATCAGGTGGAGTTACCGATTCTAGACAAGTGCATGAAAGGACAGTAAGTTACCAGAGTGAGGTAGTTACCTGGAATTACCAACGCTAGACAAGTGCATGAAAGGACAGTAAGTTACCAGAGTGAGTTAGTTACCTGGAGTTACCAACTCTAGACAAGTGCATGAAAGGACAGTAAGTTACCAGAGTGAGTTAGTTACCTGGAGTTACCGATTCTAGACAAGTGCATGAAAGGACAGTAAGTTACCAGAGTGAGTTAGTTACCTGGAGTTACCAACTCTAGACAAGTGCATGAAAGGACAGTAAGTTACCAGAGTGAGTTAGTTACCTGGAGTTACCAACGCTAGACAAGTGCATGAAAGGACAGTAAGTTACCAGAGTGAGGTAGTTACCTGGAATTACCAACTCTAGACAGGTGTATGGCAGGACAGTAAGTTACCAGAGTGAATTAGTTACCTGGAGTTACCAACGCTAGACAGGTGTATGGCAGGACAGTAAGTTACCAGAGTGAGTTAGTTACCTGGACTGGCATATGAAAGTCAACTTGTCCAGTTCTGGCTTGTAGCAGATCTCATACTGGACCCCAGTCCCTGGCACGGGCTGCCATTCAAAAGATATGCTGTTGGAGGAGATGTAGGTGGAGTGGAAGTTAGCTGGTGGCATGCGGCTGGCCAGGTCTTCAAGTCTGAAGTTCTGTGAGACAGCACTAGGAGAACCAGTCTCATACTTGGAGATGAGGGTTATGTTGTACATCCTTCTGTAATCTGGTAGATGGAGAGATTCTTTAATAGAAAAACTCTTAACACCGCAGCAGTGCTCAGATAATTTGACTAATTATTCGTATCACGACAGTGTGGCTTAGAGAAAATTATGAACATGGAAAGAAAGGTGTAATTACATACAAAATTATAATCCTCTGCATTAAATTAGCATTTTTCCTCTGGTTTCATTGAATAACAAAATAGCTGAAAGTATGTAGGCAGCTGACCAAAACTTTATAAAATTACTGGGGGAAAAAAGCTATGTGAAGGAACTGACCAAGGTCTGTAATGACATGTGACTGTGCTGAGGCAGGTAGGCTGATGTTCATCTTGGTCTCAGTGTCAGACAGCTCTAGATCATAGCCCACCTCAGGTGTGTTGTGTAGGGCAAGGCTCTGCCAGTCCAAGAGTACAGCTGAGTTGTTGATGTACATGATGTTGAGCAGACCAGCACCTACAGCTGGGAGGAAAAAACACAACAGGTTAATGGCTCAGTACACATCTCTTCTAATATAGCCATCCGACCTTTTCATAAAATATAGTTTCTTCAAACCATTCTATTAGTTGTAAAAAATGTATTCGTTAAAAATAGTATTTTAATGATTTTGTATGAAATTTGTATTGCTATGTCAATATGTTGATACAACTAAGGTTTAGTTGGAAACCTTATTACTTTATTTGATACTAATTTAGATCTATTAATTCCTAAAATTCCATGCAACAATGTGTGCTTAAACTATAAAATTTGAAGGATAATGTAAAATCTCTCCCTCACTGAAATATACACTTAACATTACACTAAATTACTCCAAGCCTCAAGAGTTGCAAACACTTGGCCTAAATGTTTTTCTCTTGATTGTTTATGTACAATGCACATTCAGTGCTAGTGATCAAAATATTATGAAAGAAATTATCTTTAAGAGAGTATAAAATAATTGATTTTAACTTTCTTTAAATATTCCACTTTTTCAAAAATATGTGTATCTGTTTTGGGTTTAAAACTGAGTTTTTCAATAATATAATTTGTTTTTAAGAATCATAAAAAAATTAAAATTGATGAAAATAAAAATCACTTATGCATTTCAGCTGCAAGCAAAAGGCAGTATAAAAAAAAATTGATGTTTGTCACATGATGCTAGTGTTGATATCTATAAGACAGTTCTTATTAGGATTTTAAAGTCATTTGAAATAAGTTTCACTGGCTACTGAACAAAGCAGAGGAGAACATAACACATGCTAAATGTATGAAAGTTTTCCAGATTTGAAAACGCACTTGGTCCATATACATGAATTTATAGTTTTGTTGATTTGGCTCAGCAAGCAATTTGAACCAATTTTGTATAGAATAGGATGATGTAGAACTCTAACTCGGCATTTGGTGCTAATGTAAGATATGTTTCACCCACTTTAGAATTCAGTTGGTGCTATTGTAAGATACACAATACAATGTTTCACTGACTTCAGAAGTGATGCTTTTGTAAGATACAATGTTTCAAAGACTTCAAAATGCAGTTGGTGCTTATGTACAATGCTATATTTCACTGGCATTAGAATTCAGTGGGTGATATTTAAGTTACAAAGTTTACTGATTTTATAATTCAGTTGGTGCTATTGTTAGATACAAAGTGTGCTGATTTTAGAATTCAGTTGGTGCTGATGTTATATCATTTCACTGATTTTAGAATACAGATGATGCTGATGTTAACCATAGAGACAAATGTGCTGATCAACATGAGATTTTAGTAGTTTTTATACATTACAGAAAGAATACATACCTAGTGCTTCATATGGCTCTACCTATAACATCAACCTTCTACATTCCTTTTATATTAAAATACTCTATTCATTCTTTTAAATTATTAGTACTCTACTGTTTACAAGTACTGATATTATTTGAAAAGAAAAACCATATTGTTTAGTAACTTACAGTTGCGGTAATCTTAAGAAAAAGGTACACTATACTGTTTAGGAATGGAATTCAATAAGTTGACGAGAATCCTTCAATCATTATTGTTGAAATAAATAAAACTCATGTTTTTGACAATTCACTGAATAGAATCCAAGGCTTCCTCCGGCGCCCCAACATAGTTTTATTTGGAACCTAGGGCCTCCCAGTGAGCACAATGGTACCTACGTTTGTTAAAGTGAGTGCGATAGACTATGTATAAATTGGGTTATTGTAGTCGTTTACTAAGTAGAATAGGGCAGTTCTGCGGGTGTACAGGCAGGGTGCGATTTGGCATGTCGGGCAAGACTGTGAGCACTATGCGTATGTTTGCATTTAAATTTGTGTATATGTTATGCTTTATCGTTTGTGTTAAGGTTTGCGTTTGTGTGTTGCGTTTGCGGTTTTTAAAGTTTGCGTTGCATTGTGTTTGTGTTTGCCTATGCATTGTGATTGTGTTTTCTTTTGTGTTTGAGTTTATGTTTACTTTCTTTTGTGTTTGTATTGTGTTTGAGTTTGTGTTTATGTTTAGTTTTGTTCCATTCCCAAGTTGGTACATTTAAAAAAGATTCACCGTGATGTAGTACGGGTATGCATGGTTGCTCGTTGAAACTGATGTAGATGCCATAGTGCCCAACAGGAGAGTTCAAGGTGCTGCAGATCACCTGACCTTTTAAGCACCTGGTTTGATTATCGTAGACCACCATATCCATAGTTAGTGTATAGCAGTCTTTAAAATGAACGTATGCGCCATAGTGCTCAATGGGGAGCACAATGCCGGGGGTGCCAGAAGACATGCTTGTTTCTATTTGGTGACCAATTATAGTAGCCCATCGTATCCATAGTGTATGGCACTCTTTAAAACAAACATAGGTGCTAAAGTGTTCATGGGAAAGCCCAGGTACCAAATCCGAAATTTTAAATTATTTTTTGCAGAAACTTTCCCAGGAGCATTCTCAACAACTTCCCTAAGTTAAATTCTGATCAGATGAAAGATGTATTGATGCATAAGGACACATATATACTTCATTTTATACATATATAATGTAGGAACTAGAAACACAGTATACACAATAAATACCACAAAGATTTAGTAGCTAGTTTAGCTATCAATGCTCATGCTGTTACACAACTAGATGAAAGCAGCTGTATGCAGGAGGACACCACAGGTACTTACAATCAGCAGGTGCTGTAAAAGATGATAACCACCTCCACTTTTCTCGCGTGGGACATCCCGCGTTGTTACAAGCAACAACCACCAGGTTGTACTCTGTGTCAGGCAGGAGGTTATCTGGAGACAACAAAATTTGATGGGTTTAGTTAGGTCTAGAGATAGAATCATTGGACACTGAGGGGGTGATCTGTGTCAGGCAGTAGGTTATCTGAAGACAACAAAATTTGATGTGTTTAGTTAGGTCTAGAGATAGAAACATTGGACACTGAGGGGGTGATCTGTGTCAGGTAGGAGGTTATCTGAAGACAACAAAATTTGATGGGTTTAGTTAGGTCTAGAGATAGAATCATTTGACACTGAGGGGGTGATCTGTGTCAGGTAGGAGGTTATCTGGAGACAACAAAATTTGATGGGTTTAGTTAGGTCTAGAGATAGAATCATTTGACACTGAGGGGGTGATCTGTGTCAGGTAGGTTATCTGGAGACAACAAAATTTGATGGGTTTAGTTAGGTCTAGAGATAGAAACATTGGACACTGAGGGGGTGATCTGTGTCAGGCAGTAGGTTATCTGGAGACAACAATATTTGATGGGTATAGTTAGGCTGTAGGAAACCCAGGTCTAGTGATAGAATCATTGGACACTGAGGAGATGATCTGCTGAAGGAAAAAAATTCTAAAAATATAGAATTTCCAATTAAAATAAAAACATAAAAAAGGGAAATAATTTTTTACCAATGAGAAATGATGTTTTGTCAGCAGGGACCACTTTACTTCTTTCATCTTGACTTCCTACTACCTGGTAATAGACTTGATAACGCGTAAGGTTACCCCGGCACTGGGCAGGGGTCAGAGGGGTCCAGCTGACTAAAATGTCATGAGAACGAGAGCTGGCCACAGTCAAGGAAGGAACCGTCAGTGGCTCTAGATAAAAAGAATTTGTTGTTCATTGAACACAATAATTTACAAGCCAAAATACATATGTAATCAAACATAAAGGCCAACTTTAAATTTATTTTTTAATATGTATAAATTATGTAATAATTATTTATGAAATGTTCATTAATAGATTGAATTTATGCATTGAAATAAAACAAAGCTATTCATCTTTTAAAAATAACAGCTGAAATAGCCTGGCCTAGGTAAAGGTTAGCAGTGAAAGATAATTTGAACGTACTTTCTTCTAGTGTCCAGGCAGTGACTCTCTCAGACATCTCCCCAGCTCCTGATTCTTTGAACAAGTGCACAGTAAACCAGTAGTTGGTGTTAGGTGTCAAGGATCCAATGTCACAATGGGGGGACTTCTCATTAGCAGTGAAACACAGTGTCTGGGTTGGTGGGTTGGGGTTATCTGGATATGTATAAAAAAATAATTTAGAAACTTAACTTTGGCAAAACTGAGCAACGAGAACTTTTTTTTTATCAATTTCATAACCTTACCCTAAATATTAGTTTTGAAACAGTAAGATTTATATTATTAAGACGTTCAGCACCAGTTGCCTTAATTCCATTTTTATTTCTGTTAGCAATGCAGGTTTTTATTAGTTTAATGGTTTTGAAACCTTAAAGAGAGAGTAAAACTAAAGCTGGTTTTAGAATGTTTGGTAATGTGTAGCTCAACTCAAAATTTTCCAGTACATATTAAACATGGCTTTTGCAATTTTCTTTTATTCTAAAAACCACATAGAAAGACACTTAGCATATTTATGACTGGTTTCATGATAATCTTTTACTGGTATGTTTCTCCCCTTACAACCATTTTTAAACCAAATTTTTACAAAACTGTTTAGAATATAAAATGCTCTATAGCAATATAATGACCTCTTTCTTGATGATGTATAACTGGTGGCACATTATAAGTGGCGTCTTGCTGCCAACATATTCTTATAGCTGTACTATTTAAAGCAGTGGCGCTGACATTACGAGCTGTTTCTGCTGCATTATCTGTAAGTAAGCAAGACAATTTTTTTTTAATATTGTATCTAGATTTTTAAGCACTGAAGTCTTTAATAAAAAAAATAACTTTACACATTTAGCATTAGTAACAAGAATATTGAACAAATAAATGTTTCAATGTCTTAACAACAGAAGTAGACATTACCATTTTTCTGTATGAGAATGTAAGCCAGAGTCATGACCTGACCAACTCCATTATCAGCAACACAGACGTAGTAGCCAGAGTGCTCCTTCCTTAAAGTGTACAGTCTCAGTGTGCTCTTGTCCTGTAAAGGAATTGTTACATTCAGACACATAAGACATGAATAAAACACTGCTTTATTTCTAAATATCTGTGCGGAATTGAGTTTTTAACTTGATAAATACAAGTACATGTAACAAATAAGAACTTTTTTACAAAATTTAACAGGTACTGCCATGTTATTTTGAATTGCTGTTAATACACAAAGGTAAAATATTTACCGCATTATCCTTAGGAAACAGATCACTGCGGTTCTCAATGGGCGTGCCATTAAAGTACCAAGTAATGTTGGGAGCTGGTATGCCAGAGACTTTACACTGCATGGTTGAGGTTTTAGCAACTGGCCATTTGTAAGAGCTGAGACCTTCCTCAAGTTTTGGTGGCACTGTCAAATAATGATGAAACACTGAGATAGACTTGATAAAAATTCTATACATAATAATCAGATGCTGGTGCTGTGTATGTTCATTGTTTATATCGTGTATCAAAGAGTTCAACTAATGTTTTCGTAGGTAGCTTCCGTTAGCGAAATTTTAAACTAAAATTACTTAATAATTTACACAAACAATGTTCTCTGGGGTTTTATTTAAATAATGGCATCAAATAGAAAAGAACAAACTTGGATAAAATTGCTGGGTGGAGGAATGTGAAGATACTAACAAGATTAGTGATTGGCAAACTTTTTCATTGAACATTCACTTTACAAATAAATATCTGACCAGAAAATATTTTTTGGAGTTTCAAGTTATTAAAAATGTCTTTTGTACTCAAAAACAATGTCAAGAGCTGACTTTTCTTAAAAAATGTGTCTAGACTATTTAATATTAGTAAAATAAAAACAATGTAATAGTTGATAAAGTCCAACAAAGTGTTTATTCCGATACAAATCAGCTTAAGTAGCCAAAGTCTGTCATCCACTGATCTACATGGGATTAAATATCCAGGAAATGAATGGATGATGAAATATTAATAATATAACTAAAGCAGGCCAAAATGGGTAAATTGAAATTTCTAGTTTGATTAAGAAAACATTTACCTATTCGATTTGTTTAATTACTGTAAATCATATTAGAATCAATATTTTAAAACAGGTAAAAAGAAGAAGAAAAAGGTTTTAAATTACTAAGAGGGGGATAACAATTACTGAAAATAAATATTGTTCATTTTTAAACTAACTGTACATGTCAGTAGGGTGATTCCATACCTAAAACTTCCAGAGATGCAGTTTTGATGATAGAATGTGCACCGTCAGATATTTTACACTCGTAAATCCCTGCATGTTCAGGCTTGACCTTAGTTATCCTCAGGTTACTCTGGCCATATCTGTACTCACTGGACATCACAACAGTTGACCCATCTGAATCAAAACAAAAACTTTTTTAGTCTAACTTCTTTAAATGTTGGACTAGTTACATCAAGAATATTGTTAATGAAGGGCAGGAAATGTTTCATTGTGAACCAACCTTTAAGTCGCTTCTTCCATTCAACTACTGGTTTTTGATTTCCGTCAGCAAGACATTCAAAGTAAGCTGTTTTTTCTACAATTACGCTTACATTCTGAGGTGATGCCAGCAGTGTCAATGGTCTGAAGGTGGAATCTGCTGAAAAGTTATCAAGATCTAATCTGCATTCAATGTTCTTCACTTAAATAGTTGTATATGTATGTATGTAAATTAAGTTAAAATACTGTCCTGGTGTGACTTTCAGCTCTAAAGGCTTTATATGTGTAAATCTAGATATGTATGTACTGTATGTAAATAAATACAAAATTTTAATAACTTATTGTACCTGATTTGACTTTTAGCTCAGCTTTTTTGCTTTTCTTCCATTCAAAATTAGCAATCATTCCATTGACAGTATAAACATAAGGGGCAGCCTGGCACCAGTATACATCTCTGTCACTGAGCTCAACATCAGTTATCTGTAGGGCTCCAGAGGGAAACACTGTAAACCTGCAGAAAAATGGTCAGGCTATTTAAGCTTCTAACAGGAGGAGAAAAATGCTCAGGCAATTTAAGCTTCTAACAGGAGGAGAAAAATGCTCAGGCAATTTAAGCTTCTAACAGGAGGAGAAAAATGGTCAGGCAATTTAAGCTTCTAGCAGGAGGAGAAAAATGATCAGGCAATTTAAGCAGGTAGGAGAAAATTTTCAGGCAATTTATGCTTTTTTAAAACTTTTAATTGGTATTCTGAGAGATAAGTCTATAAAGATAGAAGATACAGACCACAGATGTTCTGTAGATAGTAGAGAGACAACATCAGAGAATGTGCTGTAGTTACCTGCCAGTGGAAGTCACCTCCTTGTCATTTTTGTGCCAAATGTAGAAAGCTGCAGGATCAGACCATATGTTGCATTCAAATCGAACAACACCCCCCTCATAGGCTTCAACAGTGCTTGGTTCTTTTGTGAAATTTTCAGCAATAACTAGGAAAGAGAATTTTAGACATTTAATTAAATGTACAAAGGTTATGGCACTGTAGTTTTAAGTAAAGCTATTGGACCATAAAGGCAGATCTAAGAAGTAATTATAAGTTTTGAAAAGTGTGTCTAAATGTATAGATTGGATTAGATTTGTTATAGATTTAATCTTTATAAAATTATGAACAAATCTTACAAAGTAATAAAAATAAAATAACAGGCTAAAATGATGAACTGGTGATAATGAATGGTCATTTTTTTCATTATTATTATTAATTACAGCAATTAGGTTTCATAGCCTCAATCCATTTTTTTCAACTTCGAAAAAAAAAATTATAACAAAGCTATTTTTAAATTGGATTTTTTCTTTCTTGGAGTAATAAAAAAATCGATAGTGAAAGTTGAACTGACAAGAGAGTTTGGCCTTGAACGTGAAGAGGGTGCGGGAAGCAAACGCGTAGTTGATAAACAAAACTGCTTTGTTAAACCGCATTTTCGAATCTATTAAACCAAACCATTCTGTATCGCTCGATAAACGAAACAACCCCCTCATCCCTTGACTAAATTCTAACCTACGGCGTAGTACGAAAAAGCCAATAGAAGTATAATGTAACAGTAGCTAACAAGCCAAATGAGACGATGACAGCCATTTGAATAGGGCCTACATAAAAAATTAGGCTGGGTTTTTTTTTAATACAGTGATTATCTGGGTAACATTAAATTATCTTTAGAATCTTTCTAAGTATAAATAAACAATGGTGTTGTTATCAAATAACATATCCGCAATAAAAAAAAAATAACGATACAACACTAAACACTCCACCCTGACCCCTTGACCCATTTAAAGATGTGAAAATGACCTTGACATGACGGATTTAACTAACAAGCCACGGAGGGAGTGAATCCTCTAAATAGAAGAGCGAAGATTTCGGCTTGTACAGAATACAGTACTAGCGTTGCTACTAAAGCGGGGACTACAGCCTCGAAACGCAGGGAGGGGTGCTGGTGAGAAGTGCGAACACCAACTACAACTTGAAACTGGTAAACATCCAGGCCACAGTAGGGAGCAGACGAGAGGGCTAGTGTATGCTGGGGCAGCTAGCACGCAAGCTTACGATGGTATGACCTCGAAAACACACCACCGATCCAGGCCTAATGGAGGGAGAAAAGGAAACTCCGATTCATTCATGAATGAACGACTTGGATCAACAACTGAATGGCAGTATTTGAAACGGGAGGTGGGGTTAGATATGCGATCCACAAACGGGGACGTGGGTAGAGTCCCTAGCACTGGTCGTATACACCAGCAAACATACGTGCTGGTTCTTGTTGCCAAAAAAAAAGAACACACAAGGCTAACATGATAGTATTGATATTCTTTAACAAAAATAATTCTTTAATAGTTTACCTTGCAGGAGTACATTATTAATCGTATACAAGGGATATACATTTTTATTTTAAACGTTTGATTGTATAGATGTGTTTACATTTTTTTTAACCGGAGCTTTTCATTTCAGCACATTCTAAATACCTTCCCTTTATGGGTTTAAAAGAAGAATGTTAAAATTGAGCCAATCAAAAAATATATGCTTACTCTAAATGAAATGTTACATATTTTTTGTTACAAACTTGAACAACCAGGCACTATATTACACCACACAAAGTGATGTGTACTAACTACTGTTAACTTACTCCACTTGAAATCATTCTAAATTAAGTTTTAACGCAAGTCATAATCCGCAATTACGTACAATTACGTTTCAGCGCCATTTTCTGAACAAATGAAATAAGTATAAAAAGCTTTTTAAATGTAAAAAAAAAAACAATTTTCTTAAATAGTAAAAGAGTTGGCAGATAGTATGCATTGAAAAGATTTCTAAAGCGAAAAACGCAAAATTCGAAAGAAATCCCACCATTATAAAAGGTTAAAATGTTTCACTTGAAGTGTTTTGTTTTTACCCCCCCCCCCTCCTCCCCAAATAGAAAACAGCAAAGCCTGTAAAATTTAACTAAGGTTTATAGTGAGTAGACAGCAAGTGGTGGTACGAAAATGTGTGTCGAATTATGACAGGGGTGGTTATCTTGCATCAAGTTGTACTGTCACTCACATAGGTACATACCATCGTCACATTGAGCAGTCGTCATTGGGCACATTTCAATGCATACATTCTTATAGCAATCTTTGGCCCAACCTACTGCGATGAGTTCCCAACCTACCCAGTACTGTGATGAGTTCCCAACCTACCCAGTACTGTGATGAGCTCCCAACCTACCCAGTAGTGTGATGAGCTCCCAACCTACCCAGCACTGTGATGAGTTCCCAACCTACCCAGCACTGTGATGAGCTCCCAACCTACCCAACACTGATGAGTTCCCAACCTACCCAACACTGTGATGAGCTCCCAACCTACCCAGTAGTGTGATGAGCTCCCAACCTACCCAAAACTGTGATGAGCTCCCAACCTACCCAGTAGTGTGATGAGCTCCCAACCTACCCAGTAGTGTGATGAGTTCCCAACCTACCCAGTACTGTGATGAGCTCCCAACCTACCCAGCACTGTGATGAGTTCCCAACCTACCCAACACTGTGATGAGCTCCCAACCTACCCATTAGTGTGATGAGCTCCCAACCTACCCAAAACTGTGATGAGCTCCCAACCTACCCAGTAGTGTGATGAGCTCCCAACCTACCCAGTAGTGTGATGAGCTCACAACCTACCCAATACTGTGATGAGTTCCCAACCTACCCAACACTGTGATGAGCTCCCAACCTACCCAGTAGTGTGATGAGTTACCAACCTACCCAGTAGTGTGATGAGTTACCAACCTACCCAACACTGTGATGAGCTCCCAACCTACCCAGTAGTGTGATGAGTTACCAACCTACCCAGTAGTGTGATGAGTTACCAACCTACCCAGTAATGTGATGAGCTCCCAACCTACCCAGTAGTGTGATGAGCTCCCAAGCTACCCAACACTGTGATGAGTTCCCAACCTACCCAACACTGTGATGAGCTCCCAACCTACCCAGTAGTGTGATGAGCTCCCAACCTACCCAGTAGTGTGATGAGCTCCCAACCTACCCAACACTGTGATGAGCTCCCAACCTACCCAGTAGTGTGATGAGCTCCCAACCTACCCAGTAGTGTGATGAGCTCCCAACCTACCCAACACTGTGATGAGTTCCCAACCTACCCAACACTGTGATGAGCTCCCAACCTACCAAGTAGTGTAATGGTGTGATGAGTTACACTGAAGCATCTTTTGCCCAGATCATCACACCAAGGCACACAAAGACGTCAATAAGGGAAAAAATACATCACACAACTCTTTAAACTGGCGTCAATACCATGATATAAAAAGACAGGATGAAAATATCTGGTTCTATTCAACAACTAAACTGTCCCGCCTACAACTATCTTCCTATTTGCCAGGTAACAAAAGCTAAGGTAATTTTACCTGATTTCCAGTTTATTAATGGTAACACTTTTTAGAATATAAAACCAGTTTTTAAATTCAAACAGATGAGATGGGAGGAGGTGGGGGAACTTCAATACTATTCATGCACTAAAGTTTGACCTAATTTGTTAGAGAATACACACCTAAAGCTGTGTATGACCTCTCGCGAGTTGCTAGGGACCTTAGAAAACACGCTGGTATTTCAAACATCTAGTTCAGTTTTAGACAGTCATTCTTCGCTCAACAGTGAGAAAAGTTCATCGAGTTGTAAAAGTTTAGTTATTTCCGGTAAACATTCAACAGCCTATTTGTAAGATGTCGAGATAAAAAAAAACATTTGTTAACACAATATTTTTATGGACATTTTTTTTTAAATGTGAAAGTTAGATATGTTGTCACCGAGTGATACGTCAAAGTGACGGAGGGTGATGTGAGGGAGGGTGATGTGGAAGTGTGGGAGGGAGTAGGTCGTGATGTGGTGGTGTAGGAGGGAGTAGGTAGTGATGTGGTGGTGTAGGAGGGAGCAGGTCGTGATGTGGTGTGTTGGAGGGAGCAGACGGTGATGTGGCGGTGTGGGAGGGAGTAGGTCGTGATGTGGCGGTGTAGGAGGGAGCAGGTAGTGATGTGGTGGTGTAGGAGGGAGCAGGTCGTGATGTGGCGGTGTAGGAAGGAGTAGGTCGTGTGGGAGGGAGCAGGCGGTGATGTGGCGGTGTGGGAGGGAGCAGGCCGTGTGGGAGGGAGCAGGCGGTGATGTGGCAGTGTGCGAGGGAGCAGGTCGTGTGGGAGGGAGCAGGCGGTGATGTGGCGGTGTGCGAGGGAGCAGGCCGTGTGGGAGGGAGCAGACCGTGTGGGAGGGAGCAGACCGTGTGGGAGGGAGCAGGCCGTGTGGGAGGGAGCAGGCCGTGTGGGAGGGAGCAGGCCGTGGTGTGGTGGTGTGGGAGGGAGCAGGTCGTGTGGGAGGGAGCAGGCGCTGATGTGGTGGTGTGGGAGGGAGCAGGCCGTGTGGGAGGGAGCAGGCCGTGTGGGAGGGAGCAGGCCGAGGAATGACTGGTTAATGTGCAGTCGATCGATCAGCGTTGGCAATGAAACTAGGTCATTAGCTGAGAGCATAGCACACCTAGCACTAGCTACACTAAGTAGCAACTAGCCGTAGCTACACCAAGTAACAATATCTCAACTCACACACCAATTCTATTTAACACATGATGTACATATGGACGTACATTTGAGTCCGTTCTACACTAGACAAGCATCTACAGCCACCATGTATCCCGGAGATCAAGTACCCGCATGAAACAACGCGTGCTCCACTTAATTAGACAAGTGTTTCTACCGCTGTATACAACCACCCCCACACGCTTTACTGCACATCATTGTTGTGTGGCGCAGCTTACAATTCAAGGACAACATACAATTTGTCGAGCATTTATATAAGTAAACTGCGCACGCCACGGCACACGTATCTGAGTTACTTCCTCTAAGAGTGCCCAAAAACATGCGACGGACCCCCCCCCCCCCCCATCTCAACACGATTCAGTAGGGAGATT